AAGGTTTACCAAATAGACCTGAAGGGGTGACAATCAACTCTCTGAGGTACAGAATATAGACACACAGTGGCGGAGAGAAAGGCAGGTTCTCCAGATACAGAGGGCCAGGATCACTGTTGGGTGTTTGTTATTTCCTCTGCAAGAAATAAAAGTGGCAGAAAATAACTCTATAGAGAGAAGTCCTATGTCCCAACGCCCCCCCCCCCAAAAAAATACAAATGGGGAGGAACAATAATAGAATCAAAAGGCTGGAGGAAAAGGAGATCAGCCCTTCTACTTAGGTTAAGCTATGCCCCTGAGGCAGGACAGCCCATCAGTGAGGAGGAGGAGACTTTGAGAAGACAAGCTCTGTGGAAGGATTTTTCCAGAATGAGCTGGAAATCCTTGACGTAAGTTCACTTACCCACCCTCCCTAGCCAGGCCGGTCCCCATCTATGCGTGTGTGTATACATGTGTATGTAGGTCTGTCTTTTCTGCTAACACAAGATAAAGGGAGAAAAGCATTCCTGCCCCAGAGCTTCACCTGCATAACATTCATAATAAAGACCCTGTCACTCATCAAAGAGGGCCTCCCTAGGCTCTCTGATCCAGCAGCGAGCTCAGGCTATAATTGCAAACACCCTGCCCGTGGGACGTGTCAGGTGATGTGAAGACACTCGGGTCTGCTGGTGTCTGTAAATGCAAGTTCAAGGGGACTTTTTAACATCAGAAGCAAAAATATGAGAGTCAAGAGACAGGTCCCCTGTGCCCTGTAGAGGATCACAGTCGAGATAAGAAGTAGGAGGCAATTGCTCTGAAGGTGGGGAAAATAATTTGAAGACAGCAGAACAGACACGAGGTAATTACCACTCAAACACAGCGCAGGCAAGAGGCCCTTGGTTTTAGGAAAACAGGAAGGGAATCGAGCGAGGTGGGAGGAAAGGCCTGACTCTCTGGCGGAGGGTGTCTTCCTGATAGGAAGACAGGGAACAGTGAACAATGACCCCCAGATGCCCTGTCATATTTAATGATTGTGTGAGCCAAGTTGGAGAAGACTTTTTCCCATTGTTCTCAACTTCTCTATTCTGTTTCAGAGGGATGGCACGTGTGTTTTGAGATGAGGGAGGGGACATGAAGATTTGGGGGAAAGGGAACAAGAAAAAGACATCTAACGGGCTACATTTGGTCTGAACCCAACTACAGGAGATTCTAGAAAAGGCAAAGCTATGGAAATAGGGAAAAGATGAGCGGTCGCGGGGGCTTTGGGAGAGGGAGGGGAGGATGAACAGGTGGAGCCCCAGGGATCTTAGGGCAGTGGACCTCTCTGTATGAGACTGTAATGATGAACGCTCACCACCATACGATCATCAAATCCATGTAGATACAACACCAAGAGTGAACCCTCATGCAAACCATGAGCTGTAGTTATTGTAGTGATATATGAATAGTGGTTCATCAGCCGTAACAGGCGTGCCACACCAGTGCAAGGTGTTTGTGAGAGGGGGAAACCCTGCATGGCAGGGGAGAGGGAGGGTTTGAGAACTCTCAGCTTTCTGCTCCATTTTTCTGTCAACCTAAAACTACCCTAAAAAACAAAGTTTATAAATTTAAAAAAAGAGAGAGAGAAGGCTATGTAGGTAAGAATGTGGGCTGAAACATTTAAACAGTCCCTTCCCATTCCCACAAAAACTTGGTGGTTTTCTAACCAGAGGAAAATCAGATATTAGGGTCCAGGAAACGCCCTTGAAGTGAAAAACTGAGAGTATCCGAAACTCAGCTTCATTGTAATCTGATTTCATGAAACTCCAGAAGAGAGTTAAAATCGTCTTACCCAGCAGAGAAAAAGAGGGGAACTTCACAGAGTATATTCCTGAAATCTCTTGGGTGAAGGGCTGGTTTCATGTGGTTGTTTTTTTTTTTTTTATACCAATCCATTACTATCCAATATTTTAGTAAAATAAAAAAAATTAGTTACTAGAGGAGATGGAGAATACACTTGGATATCAAATTCTTACTAAGGTTTATGAATACTTAGTCTCTGTACTTGCCTCACAAAGGGCTGGTAATGAAAGTCTATGCACAAGCCTCCATCACAAATAAGTTACACATTAAAATGCACTGTATCAGAGGAGAATAAATATACCCAGGGCCCAGGCACCCCACAAACCCAAGCCATTGGCAAACAGAAAGAAACCCAGCCAGGAAACATGGTTAGTATTTATCAGCAAGTTCTCTTGAAAGCCGAGGGCACCATCTCTTGTCTGGACCATCATGTCATCCTCTAGCCATGTTCTCTTCCAATTCCATCTCTCACTGCCATAAAATAAATCATTCCAAAATGCAAACGTGATGTGGACTTTCTTACCTGACATCAGGTTAGTGTTTCTGATTTCCCAGGATGCCCTGGGCACTCATTAGCACCTCATTCATAGCAAACTGGCTCCTACTTGCCTCAGTACTGCATGCCCCAATGAAGGGCCCAACTGAGCTGCTCATAGTGAGCAGAAGACCTGACTCTGACTCAAGGAGTCACACCCAAAAGTCAGCTCCCCAGTCCACTACTATATATGACCAGATGTGTGTAGGTAAGTCTGATTTAAAAGCATAGAGTCACGGACAGTTTCTTAAGGGGGTGGGAGGAGGGCAGTAGGGGTAGTAAGAAGAATCGGGGATTGTTCACCAAAGGAATTTCCTTTGAGATAAATGAAGGCATTCCAGGTAGAGGGACCAACAAAGGCGGAGAGCCTTTGGGATATTCAGGAAATCTCAAGAAACTCTATATATTTCACATCAGGGAAGAGCCCCAAATCTTCTTTCAGGAAAGGGAATGGCAATAATTACTGTAGAAAGCCTCAATGTTTACTTTCTCTAAGCATCTGGAATGAAGATAAGCTCTTTGGCCTCAGATTGGAACAGTCAGAAGATATTGAATTCTAAGAACTTGCCAGAGACTAGGGGAAATCAACCAAGAAAAGAGAAGCCAAATATTGTGAGCTCCCTGGGCAAGGAAATTTAATCTTCACATCGATCCAGTGCTGTGGGCTTTCTCCTCCCTTTACAGATGAGCAGACTGAGGCTCAGAAAGGACAAGTCATCTCAGCCAGTCACATACCATACAAATGGTATGCAACATCACTGAGCTTCCAACCAAGGTCTACCTGCCACTAGATACTCTGCACTTTGCACAAGGTCAGCCTTGTTTATGCTCCTGAGTGTGTGGAGCAGGTGGTTATGAAGAGGAAAGCAAAAGGGAGAAGGCAAAGAAGCGGAACATTTTAATCCAACATTTGCAAATATATATTAAAATGGAGCTACTTCATAAGAATTGGCTTCACCAAGTGTTTGGCATATCAGACACTGTCAGGTGATTTGGATGTATCATATGCTTAATTCCTACAATAATTCTGCCAGGTGGCTGTGGCAGATTGCACTCGTTCTCAACTATACACTCTCCCACTGTCATGTAACTCATGGTGCTTCTTTGTAGACAGAATATACTTTCCTGTCCCAATAAGAAGGTGGTCCACATGACTTGCTTGGGTCAATGAGAACAGGTCTCCAGTTTAGTAAGTCTATGAAGCTCTAAGAGACTTGCAGATTTCTGCCTTCTCTCTTGCTTCTGTCCCAAGAACAGCTGCTATGCTCACAGCCTGTGTCCTGGGATCATGGAGCAGAACCATAGCAGTCTACCTACAGTGGAGGGGCAAATAAAAGTTTGTGGTAAGTCAGTGAGATCTTGGAGATGTTTGTTACTGCATCCCAGCTGACTGATACAGTGGTGTTTTACAAATGAGGAACTGAAGCTGGGAGACACATCTCTCCCCAGCTCATACAACTCCTAATGGTGAGTCTTAGATTTAGACCCATTTCTATTGGATTTAAAAGTCTGTTCCCCCTTGCAAAGCTCAAAGAGTTTAATATAGCTCATATGGGGCTACCACCCATACAGGAACAGAGCACAGTCTCTAGAGTCCCGATTCTTTCCATGGTTCCCATGGTTTCCCAATCCTTCAAAGCCCTGCCAGGGGGTCTACACTCTTGGTGAAGTTCATCTGGGCTTCTACCAGATCAGTGTCCCTTCCCTCTTCTCACCTCCTTAGTGCTTATATTTCGTGGCCTTCATTTCCAAGCCTGATAACTAATGCCTGTGTTTAGAAAACAGACCCAAACCAATGTGGTATTATATACAAGAGAACCACCCAATAAACGAACAATGAATTGAGCAGGAGAGAAATGAGTCTTTGAACTTAGGAACAGATTTCAGCTTGCAACATCGACTTTGTTACTTTCCTACTCTATTGAGTGTGAACACACTCTCTGAGCCTACCACCTCTTCTAAGCCACCATTATCTCTTCCCTAGCATTCTAGAACAACTTAATGGATGGTCTACCTGCTCCTGCTGTTCCCCCACAGACCCTTCCTTCTCCACCCTGCACTTAAGGAGGGCTTCTAAAAATGATCATCACATTCCCTGGTGGAAAACCTTCTGGCAGCTGCTCACAGCTCTCAGAATCAAATCCTAAATGACCTGTCGTAATTCATCTCATGGAGCTCTCCTCCTTGCTTGTTAGGTGCCAGACATAATGGCATCCTTTTCGTCAACAAATAGGCCAAACAGCTTTCCCCAGCTTACAGCCTTTCCATGTGGGTTTCTTTCTATCTTGAAAGTTCTTCCATTTCATATTTATCTTCTCAGTTCAAATGTCAAAAGTGATGCTATGAATTACGTTTACAAAATCCTTTCTCCTAGGCCTCTTCTGGATCATCCAGAGAATGGCTTTCCAGGCTGTTTGTCATTATGTGTCCTTACATGTCATTACGTGGCCATGTGACTAGCACTGGGCCAATGAAATGGAAAATGGAAGTGTTGTGTATTAAGCAATCTGGGCTGTACCACCTCTAGCCTTCTGCAGATCCTGACCACACCATCTATTTACATCTCTACCATGGAACTGTCTCTGCATCATTTGTAACATTTGTACCATCTGAAATTATCTTCAAAATTTATGGTTACCAGCTCATTTCCTATCTTCCATGCAAGACTTCAAGATCTAAGAGGGCAGGACCCTTGTGCATTTTGTCCATAGTTGTACCCAGGACTCAGTGTAGTGTCAACCTATAAGAGATGCTCAATTAGTATTTCTGAAACATATACACATACGAGCAAATAAATGGACAGAGCTCTTATATAAATAAAATGAGCTAATTGATGAAGGCAGTTAGCACAGTGCTTGATAGAGTATAAGCACTCAACAAATATACCTAATTAGAGCATAAAAATTTGAGTCCAAGAGCCTTTTGTTTTGTTTTGTTTTGTTTTGTTTTTACTGTGGAGACGAAAGGAATAGAGAGGAGGTTAGGGTTTGAGACCAATGGTCCATAAAAGGCAGTCTCAGCCTTGAACATCAAAATCCCCCAGGCAGGCAGAATAGAAATTTGGAGAGCAGTCACAGGGGAGAGGTGGCCTGAGGGGGAGAATGGGCTCCACTCCACGAGTCCAAACTTTTCTTCCTAATAACAGCATGACCCTAGAATTGTTAGTAAGATCTGATGTGCCTGGGCCAGGACATTGCCCACCCACCTGCATTAGCACCACAAAGCCCTTCGAAGGAAGTACACCATACATCCCGAATGCCCTTCTTGGGCTTAGAATCTGTGCCAGATTTTGGCTGGGTCCTGCAATTAAGAAATAAATAAATCACCATCCTTGCTTTCAAGGATCCAGAGGGAGAGACAGACATGCATTCAAATAATTTAAAATAAAATATAATCAGTAGAATGAGAGAAGCATGGACAAGAGGAGGCTGGTGTAGAGAACACAAAAGGAGCACTTGCATCTAAGCACTCATGAAGGCTGAGGAGACAACCTCTCCACTGGACCTAAAAAATGTCCAAGGTTCCCAGGAAGACATAGTCAGAAGGGCATTCTAGTCAGAGGGAACAGCATATGCAAGGCATGAAATCAAGAAAAGCCTTCAATGATCTTGGGAAGAGCAAGAAGCCCTGGTGACTGAGGTATAAGGTGAGTACATCTTGTATGTATTAGAATGTCTTGCCTTTTGCATTTAAATGACATGTGGGAAAGAGACACAATAAAAAAAAATTGTAGACACAGAAAAAAATTAATCTGCTGGAAAAAAAAGACTTACTAATTGTTTTTGGACAATTTGTTTTGTTTGTTCAAGCTGAAAATAGAGCTAATTTCTGAACTCCCATCTTCTTCTGGGTTCTTTTTAAAATGTATTGCTCAAGCAATGTAATGCCAGCAAAACAGAAAACTCAAAATTAGAAAAGAATGGCCCAGAATACCACTTCCCTAATAACCACGTGTTCATACTCCCATGTTCCTTCAAAGCTTTCCTTTGACTGGCCCATCCCCCTCTCAGGGGACAGAACAAATGGAAACAGGATCGGACTGCATTCTAGTCATGGCAGATCACCCCAGCGCCCCCTGAAGGAGATGCATGGAATTCCTATCCCTGGAGACCTTAGACCAGAGATTGATTATATATAAGCCTGCCTGAAAGAGGGCTGGCCATTGTCCACTCTTCAAGACATAGATTTCCAGAATACGGAGAGTCAGTGTAAGTCTCTAATTCATAGATTTTCAGATCTTGGATCCCCCAAGACATATGATGCTCCCAGTCCATTGCAGTTGGGAGCAGGGGTCCCTTGAGGGTCTTCAGGAATCCAGGAGTCAACTGAAATTGTACACCAAAATTTTTGTAAGTACATAGGTGCATTTTCCAGGCAGAAGATACCCTGCTTCTCGGAGAGTTGGTGTGTGATTTAAGTCTGACTTTTTGCGTGGTTGGTTTTTGTTTATTCCCCACACCACAGTGGATCAACACATTTCTAACTTACTGTTCTGGGATCTGAATAAAGTTGGCTCCTGGTTCTTGGCACAGGATTGAGCTCTTTTCTACACAGTCCTTCAGAAAATCCAGGTGTCTCCACCTCCAAAACACACCTCAAACTTGACATGTGTCTCCATCCCCATCACCTAACTCTGGCCAGGCCACCATCACTGTCTCCCACCAGAACAAAGGTGACAGACATTAAGCAGGTTTCTTTGGCTGCCACCTAATTTCCATAAAGTCTCTCTCGAGTGCCTTTTTTTTTTTTTAAGAATAAAATTACCATACTGAAAATTCTCCAATGGTTTCTTATTGCCTTCAGTATAATCCAAGTTCCTCAGCATGGCTCATAAAAAGCCCTACATGAACCATCCCCTTTCCACTTCTACAACCCCATACGATACCACCTTCCCCCTCTCTCACTAGGACCTAACTGAGAAAAATTAAATTCTGATCCTGAACTTACCCAACTATTTCTCACTTCAGGGCCCACACCCACGTTGTTCGATTTTCTGGAATGCTCTTTTCCTCTCTTCACATGGTTAGCTCCTTGCCATCACACAGGCAGGCCTCAGCTTAAAAATATCTCCTCAGCTAGATCTTTACTGACCATCCTTTCTTGGTGGATTACTATCTTCATCACATTAATTTTTCTATTATCAAGTTTTATTCAATTGTCGTTAATAGTTACTTTTATTTTATTAAATTTTTTTATGTTATGTTTATCACCATACATGACATCATTAGTTTTTGATGTAGTGTTCCACGATTCATTGTTTGCGTATAACACCCAGTGCTCCATTCAATATGTGTCCTCTTTAATACCTATCACCAAGCTAACCCATCCCTCCACCCCCCTCCCCTCTAGAACCTTCAGTTTGTTTCTCAGAGTCCATCGTCTCTCATGGTTCATCTCCCCCCCGACTCCCCCTCCCTTAGTAGTTATTTTTAATTTAAATTTTTTTCTTGTTTTTTTTTTTTTTTTTTTTGTCTGCTTTCCCAACTAGACTCTAAGCTTCATGGGGGCACAGGCATTGACTTTCTTCTTCACAGACACATGCCCGGTCCCTGACACATATCCCCCAAATGGTAGGACTAAATGGTTGAATGGATAGAGCACTAGATGAATGAATGAATGAATGAATGAATGAATGAATGAATGATTGCCTTCTAAGCATCTTCATGCTCCATCCTTATGCGTCAACTAGTCAACGCCTTAGTACACTATGTCCTCAGCTATGCAGGGATGGCCACGGCAGCCTCTAGGGATGTGAGGCAGTGCTCACAGAGCCAAGGAGGAGTGCTGAGAACAGTTAGAGGCTATCCATTAGAGGTTGTGCCTACAGTCCCAACCACCTGATCCTCAGGAGCTTGCTGTGCCTGGGTTTAATTCAAAGTACCTTCTATAGCTCAGGGGACTCAGGGAAGGGGGGCTGAAGCAGGAAGGAGAGCTTACAGACTGAGTGTAGCACACTAAATTTTGAGAAGGGAAATTCGGAAGGTCTTCAGGGGACTTTCTTTGATAAGCCCCAGAGTAGTTTTAGAAGAGCAAGGAGGAGGAGTAAGGTGGGGTGGGCGTGGTGATGATCTGATACTCACCTAGGGCTCACCTCAAATGGCACAGGAATGAGTGGGTCACATTTTCCTTTTCTTCTCCCCAGCCTGACAAGCCCACAGGCCTCACAGTGGGACCCATGAGGCTCTCCCTCCCCCTCCTTTCTCCTTACTTCCTCCCTTCCCATTCCCATCAGTGTCAGCCTCAAATTCCCAACTCTGTCTGCCTCGCCCCTACGTTGTGAAAACTGAAAGGCATGTTTGTCTGAGGTCCTGGGCTCCCTTAGCCGCAACTTGACCCATGCTCCCATCTTTAGTTCTCCCTCAAGGTGGGAAGTTTCTGTACTCCAGACTCTGACACTTGGAGTCAAACCATCTTCATCCTGTGACCCAAAACCTAGTCAGTTCTGAGCAGTTCTGAAGGGAGGAATTGGGAGTCCTGTTCTTATTAATTTTTATAACTTTACACTTAGGGAGACAGTATAGCTCAGTGCTTAAAACCATGGGCTCTTGACCCATGGGTTATGCTCTTAACTCAAACCCCAGCAACTCCCCTGAAGTGCAACTTCAACCAAAGTGTCTTCTCTCCAAACCCCAGTCTCCTATCTATAAAGTGGGTATGAAGAGTCTCTTTCTCCTTGGGTTGCTATAAGGATTAAGTGTGGTGATGCCATTTGTGCTCCACCCAGCCCCTTGGAGCTTTCAAGAGCTCAAGTGGATTTCTAGCTCCCACAACCTGCATCTACACACCTGAGGGTCAGGTTGCTTGTTTTTAAAATTTGGCCAAAACAGCAGAAAGTTTCAGTGTGTGTGTGTGTGTGTGTGTGTGTGTGCGTGTGCGTGTGTGCGTGCGCGCGCGCATGCGCGCGCGCACATACAGGCACACAGAAGCCTGGAAATGCTACGGAATTGCACCTCCAGGAGCAGGCTTCAGCCAGCGACCTTGGCACCCGGTGTGTAAATACCCCAGCTCCTTGACTCCTCAGGGGGGATGATTGTGGAGAACGTGTTCCCAGAGCATCGCTGTGGGAGGAAACTCCAGCCACCCACTCCGACAGCTGACACCATCCCATACTTATTGTTGCCTTGTTTTCATACATCATTCCCCCATCTCCTTGTCTGTGTTCAACTTCCCAAATAACCTCCCTGTACTGAAATCTTGGTCTTGGGGCCTGCTTCTGGGAGAACCCATGCCGAGACCAAATTCTCAGCACAGGGCCAGGCTCTTGGTAAACCTTCAGTATTAAATGGCTCAGTCATTCTTGCTACAGAACTTTCACCTCCCCTCAGTGGGAGAGACCTCACTCCATGCCACCCAAACACCCACCAAGGGGCCATGCCGCTCATCAGAGTGAATAATCAGCCAGGGCCTGCCAGCACATCACTCCTGTCTGCATGGATCACTGGCCAGGCTACCTCCTCATGCTGTGAGCTCAGCGCCTGCTCAGGGAGACCACCAAGGTGCTCCTCCCTGGCGCAACACTCCGGCCTCCAGGGAAGCTGACTGCAGGCCTGTGAATAAACCTGTCTCTTCAGGTGAGGCAAGAAGCTTCCCTGCCCCACCCTGGCTGGCCAGAACAGGTCTGGCCAGGTGCCGCTCCTTTGGTCCAGAAGCCAATGAAAGGCAATGCCAGGGCACTTTGTCCACCACTTGTATTAAGAGCCTCAGCTGGGCACAAACGACTCCTGTGAATGTGTCTGTACATCTCTCTTTGCCTCTTGTCCATTTTGTATCCTCAGAAGTCACTCCCTATAACCCTGTTGCCCATAAAGAGAATTGTAGGAGGTATCACCACCAAAGACCCTGTAATTTCGCAGACAGGTTGCAAACTCTGCTAACTCTGAGCCCAGCCCAGCCATCCTGGATGCACACTCTTTATTCCTCTGACAAGCCCTAAGGCTGGTTCTGGGCTGAGAACAAGCATACAGAGGCTCTGCAGAAACCCATAGGTTCTTGGCAAACTCCAGCCTCAGGTCTTATGTACTCTCCCAGTGATCGCGAGACAGCCACAAACCCTTTGGGCCGACTGGCTGGTTCCCGGCCACCATGAGTACTTTCAACTCTAAGGGCAAGGACTTTTCCATAGATTCATGCAAAGTTTAGGTCAAGAGAAACTTCAGTTCATCTATGGTCTGCAGGCGTCTCAGCTTTCATCTGAATGTGAAAACATTCCCGACGGCACATGCTCCCCCTTCCCAGCCTGACTCCAGATTCTTCCCAGGCTTTTCATCCATCCTGGAGAATGCTTCTTGTCCATTTTTCTG